TGTCTGGGCCAATGCTTTGATCTTATCCCGCGATTTGGGGAGAAAGGAGCCTGGAGAGAAGGGGGGAGGGAGAGGGGGAGAGAGAGACAGACAGAGACAGAAACAAGAGACACACACACCCCCTCCCCCCCTTGCTAGAAATAACAGGGCCACGAGGAGCTGACGTGCGCGCGCCCGTTAGTGACGCACTTCCGCCCCCTGAGCTTCCGCTTCCGCCCTCCGTTTGTGCGCATGTCAGAGAGTGTACTTCGCTGATTTGGTCCCGCGGGCGTCTTCCAAGTCTCTCGGCGAGCGGACTCGGCCCCAGAGAAGGAAAAGGAAAGGCTCTGAGAGGGTGTCCTGCTTGTGCTGCTTAGGACCTGGGGGCTCCCCGCCTGCGGTCCCCAGAGTATATCTGATAAGACGATGGAAGGGAGCAGTGAATAAATGAGGAAATGAACAAGGGCTAGGAGTCATTTCTGGAAATGAAATGCCTGGGCCCCGTCTCCGACGTCCGGATGTCAGTCTTTTCCTCTCGCCGTCGCCAGTACTATCTTATCCTGAGGTTCAGACCCTGGTTTAGGATCCGCCCTTAGAGGAGAAGGCAAGCAGTGTAACTCCCACTACACTGACAGCAAGCTGCTTAAGATAATGAGGGAAACAAGAGGTCCTGAATTTGGACTCCTAGCTTCCTAGACTGTAAGAGAATAAAAGTTCTGTTTGTTAAAACTATCCATTTGTCCTACAATCAGGAGAGGATAAAATAGATGAATAGGACCTTCTAAGAATCAAGTCCCTATGCTCATCCAAAAACTTCTCCAACAGGGTAAAAAGGGAAGCCACAGACAAGGAAAAAATATTTGGCAATGATATGTCTGATAAGGGATTTATATCTAAAATTTATAGAAAAGGTAAACAACCCAATTGAAAAATGGGCACAGGATATGAACAGACACTTCACCAAAGAAGATATTCAGATGGTGAACAAACACATGAAGAAGTGCTCAAAATCCCTCGTTCTAAGAGAGATGCAAATCAAAACAACTATGAGATATCATCTCACCCCAGTAAGAATAGCAAAATTCAAAAGAGCAGCAAACAACAAATGCTGGAGAGGTTATGGAGAAACTGGAACCCTTATTCACTGTTGGTGGGAGTGTAAAATGGTGCAACCACTATAGAAGGCAGTATGGCACTTTCTCAAAAAGTTGCAAATAGAAATACCATTTGACCCAGCAATTCCACTACTGGGAATATACTCTAAAAAACGCAGAACTGCCACTCAAGCAGATATATGCACACCCATGTTTATTGCTGCTTTGTTCACAATAGTAGAGTTGGAAACAACTCAAGTGCCCATCAACAAACGAATGGATAGAGAAGCTGTGGTATATTCACACAGTGGAATACTATGCTGCATTGTAAAACAAGGAACCAAAATTTGTTCTTTTTCCCCCCCAGACAAGATGACCAATCTTGGTGTCAAGTGACCCAAGGAAGACAAGGCAAGTCAGAGAGGCTGCTCATTTGGATTTTCCATGTGGGACAATTGAAAGTACACACTGAAGAACCCAACCAGATGAAGAGAAGATGATCCGTACTGTAAACTAGGGATGATCGCTGCAGCCTGATGGCTTGCTCTGGACTGGATGATGCTTATGGATGCAGATGCTCAAAGTCTCCAATTTGAACAGAGGATCCTTCAGCAAAAGGGACATGTTTGTTTCCTCAGAGTACTGATTTGATAGGGATTGGCAAATCATTAATTGGCTGTCTAAAACAGGGATGTTAGTGCAGGAGGCATGAAGTAGCTGGTTTACACACTTTACAAAAGTAGCAATTGATGGGATGGCTATAAGATAGAGGGGAAAACACCTCGCAATATGAAATGAATGAAATAGAATGTAAATGAAGGGCTGTATGGAACACACTGTAAAGGCATGAGACACTATCTGAACAAGAAAAATTTTAAAAAGTACACAATGAATGAGGAAGGAGGAAAATAGGAATGACTACATGAACAATTCACACAAATACAGAAACACACAAACACTGCCAGGAGCACAGTGTTATTTTAATTACATTTCTGAGAAAAATGCCTCATAAATATGAGTTTGAGAGAGCCTTACATGTGAACCTGAATGTTTTGGTGAGAAGCCTCATTGGTGTGCTCCAGAAAGCATGAGTTGCAGCCAGATTTCACTCCCTGTAAAATGCCAGACACTTCACCTGCAGAAGAAAATATCAGAATGCAGTGAATGTGGGCAATCCTTTTCTCAGAGATTGTCTCTTATCCAACATCTGAGGATTCACACAGGAAAGAAGCCCTATATCTGTAGTGAATGTGGAACTTGTTTCTGCCAACAATCTAATCTTAGTCAACATCTCATAGTTCATACAGGAGAGAAATCTTTTAAATGTAATGAATGTGAAAAAGGCTTTCAAACAAAAGCAGTCCTTGTCCAGCACCTGAGAATTCACACTGGAGAGAAACCCTATAAATGAAACAAATGTGGAAAAGCCTTTGTCAGAGCCCATCCCTTACCTAACAGCAGCAAATTCACACAGGAGAGAAACCTTATAAATGCAGTGAGTGTGACAAAGCCTTCAGTCAGAGCATATGCCTCACTTGTCATCAGAGAAGTCACTCAGGAGACAAGCCTTACAGGTGTAATGAGTGTGGGAAAGCCTTTAATCAGAATGTGTGCCTCACAGTGTCAGAGAACTCATTCTGGAGAGAAGACCTACAGACATGTCAAATGTGGGAAAGCCTTAGTCAGAGCTCTTTCCTTGTGAAACATTCGAGAATTCACACTGGAGAGAGGGCTTATAAATACAATGCGTGTGAAAAAGCTTTCCGGAAGCAGGCACACCTTAGTGAACACTACAGAATCCACACTGGAGAGAAACCTCATTCCTGCAGGCACAGGTCAGTGCTGTTCGACATCACAAGCTTCATGCTGGACAATATAATGAGTGTCACAATACTTCCGTGGACTTGCCATTTTCCTCTACATTTCTGAGATTTTTAAGACTCCTCTTCATCAGTTGAGCTAAATGGTTTATGTTTTGCTCCTGAGATAATACCTCAAAAAATAATGGGTGTATTTTGGAAAATACATGCTTTGTTATCTCTTTAAAAGGGAAAGTTTCACCTAAATGCAGAAGACTTTTTGAAGTATTTCTTTTAAGAGGTATATACTAATTAGGTAGTAAGTTTATAGAAAAATTGATTAGCATCTTAAAATATTTTCAGCTCTAGCAATTTATTTATAATTAAGTGCACTCAGATATTTTTAAATATAACTTTCTTAACAGCTGCCTGCTCTACTGTGTGAACGGATTCTATTTCTTGAGAGTTATATTTTGTGAGCCCTGATGAAGCACATGGAAAGCTATCAGTATTTCAGTAAATAAAAAAAAATCTGTGTGTGAGAGATAGTACCAAGACAATTATTTATTCAACGAAAAAAGTATACCAAAATAAACTCCAGATTAAGTGTGAAAGAGAAAATGTAAATAACAAATAAAAGAAGAGCAAGAGAATGTAATGCTTTAATTGATCCAAGGCATGGTTCAAACTCACCAACTTCTCTGCAGGAGAAAGGTGGGCTGTCTCCTCCCATGTGATTTACTGCCTCTGAAAATCCACTGGAGGGTCAGCTATGAGTTGGTTCAGACTCAATCACATAACCACATATCAACAACAGAGGCTGGGAAACAGTGACATCAAAAAAAGCAAGGGATTGCTGGGTTAGAGAATTTATATTTTTAAAGAATTTATAAATTAAGACAAAAATATGACTAAACTAGATGAAAAGGTTAATAAAAACCAAATAAATGTATGTATGCATGAAATATATGTATGTATCCATAAAACAATGAAAAAGTTTAACATCTTTTGTAGCGCAAAGACAATGTCAATTAAACTTAAGTATTAATACATCAAATTATTTTAACATACCAAATTTCTACAAATTAAAATGTTGCTGTCAGCCCATGCCTTTTTGCAGTTATGGTCAAAGTGAAATTGGTTCTCATAAATGGTCTAAATAGTTAAGTGCCAACATTAACATGATCCATATCCTTTAATGCAGGAATTCTGTTCCTAGCAATTTATTCCTTTTTAAAATTTGAATGGAAGTTCACAATCATATTGGGGGTTTTTTCCAAACACTCATGGTCATTTTATTTTATAACATTAGTTTTAGAGGATTCATGTAATTACTGTATTACAATGCCTAATCAAACTCTAGTTACATTAGCCACTTATCCTAAGGGAATAATCAGAAATCCCTGAATTATTTTACTACACTTATTTTTTGGTTAGGACTGCCTTCGGCTGCATGTGAGAAATGTGATGGAGGTTTAATTGCTGGCAGTTATGCTGCTCATGTACTAGGCTTAGTTCACAGCTGGGACAGCAGTCCCAAGCTCCTCAGTTTCCAATCTGTCCTCCAGGCAGGATGAAGGGAGAAGTGTAAAAATTCATGCCTTCCACGTCTGTCCTTGTATCAGCTTCTGTGTCTTAACTCCCACAGCTGAGCCATGTGACTGACAACCCATGACAGAGCTAGGAGGTGTTTTTATTTAGATGTTATAATTTATTGTGTGTTTTATTTAGGTATACTATTATCCCTCCCACTTAAAGCAGAGTTCTAATAATGAAAAGTATGCAATAGATGGCCTATTTAATAAGGACATCCCTTACACATTTTGGATTTTTTTCTGTGGAAGAATGCTTCTATTAAGTGAGAAAATGGACACAGAACATATATAACACAATTTCAATTTCATTTTTTAAAAATATAATTTACATATACATCCTCAGACAAGGAAAGTAACAAAATATTAATACTATTTTCATCCAAGTACTGAAGAATCAACAATTTAGATCCTACTTAATTTTTTGTTATCTTCTACAGTGAACTTGCATTACTTTTATAAAAGTAGGAAAAAGATGTTTTTTTAAAAACCAACCCATAAATTCCCAAAGAAGTCTAAGTCCGAAAGATGTACAATTATTCATCTTCATCGCCAAAAGAAAGGAGGCTACTGTTCTTGATTTTCATTTGTGAGTTCTTTTTAACTGAGTCCAGCTTACTGCTTCCCTCTTCATCTGTCTTCTTCTTTTTTGAACTTGCTGTTAAACCTGAATATTTTTCATCAGAGGGACGCTTCTTGACTGGTTTGCGATACATGATTCTCCCATCAGCAGTAGTGGGCTCCTCATCTGTAATAGATACAGAATTAAAGAAGTTTCCCCCCTTTGCCTTTATAACTGTCAGTGAGTTTCCAACTCGTGCTGATTTAAGGTGGGTTGGTGTAGAACTAGATTCCAAGTAGGTAGGTTGGGTGTTCCCCTCCCCCCATAAGTTGACTGCCAAGCACAAATTTCTTCTGGGAGAAGTCTCAAACCTCCAACATTCTGATTAGTAGCTGCGCACACATGTCCACCACTTAAGGGCTTCTTTTCTTTGATATACATATAACATATACACCGGTGCATGCATGCACACTCCCTCTCTCTCTTTCACTCTCATATCTTTATAGGAAAAGTCAAATGGAATGAAAATGTGATGCTGTATTAAGGTGGTTTGAGTCAAACCAAGTCGGTTTGACCTTCTCCACTGGCTCCAAACATGTACTTACTCCATAAAAACCTCACCAGAGTATCCATCATTTGTTGTGCCAAATTAATTACAATTAGGCATATGTACTTTCAAAAGTGATTGTCTGGAACTCCAGCATTTCTGCCTAGAACTCTATAATAAATGTTTAGCAATAAAAATACAAAACAAACCATTACACTTCAGGTACTTAAACACTCAAAGTCACTACCATAGAGTCAGAACTGACCCTGGCTGACCTTCCAGGTTTTCAAAGGCTGTAAGCTGCACAGGGGGGAGGCTGCCCTTCTTTCTTCTAAATGTAGCTGCTGGGTTCAAATCACGTGCATTTGGGTTGGTAGTGCAACTCTTTATCCACTAGGCTTAGTAAAAGCTCCCCTTTAGGTACCAACTAATCGAAGAGACCTTTTGTGACTGGTTTGTAAATGAACAAACTTTTTGCTTTTACTTAAAATTCACCCTTGATCCTCATAAGAAACTCCATGTTTGTCCCATTTAATGATGAGAGGCTGAATATTTTACTCAAGATCACACATCTACTTTTTAAAGTGCCAAAGCCAAGATTTAAAGCTGAGCCTCTTCAAATCATGTACTCCTACCCACCACACTGCATCCTGCCCACCACACCCACCAAACACCACACCACACTACTGCTCATACTACAACCATCTCATACTCTAGGTCCTCTAGTGTTAGTTAGAAAAACCACTCTTGTTTCAGACATACCTTCTTTAGCTGCCTTTATCTCTGCTTTAATTTTCATGACTTCTTCAGCCGACAAGTCTCCTTTTCTTAAAACTACCACTTGGGGCTGTTCATCTTCTTTGTCACTGCGATCGGCATCATCTTCTGGGAGCTGAGGCTGGATTCTCTAGAGGGAAGCATAAACACAGTCTGTAGGCGGCTGACCTTGACCCAGACACAACCCACTGGCTCTATGCTGAACTGAAGCTATGACAATGAGAGCAGTAACATCACTGAATAAATATTTTTTTTGCAAGGAATTTTTCAAGTAACTCCAAAGAGCACAAGCTCTCATATGAGGGAACAAGCCCACTGTCAGGCATCAGGGATTCCTGTGTGGTGAATGATTCACTTCTATCTCAGAGGACCTCTGCTTTCTGGACTGTTGTCACTCACAGCTTCGCCAGGATGGTGAGAAACTGTGTCTGTCCTCTCTGTTCCTCTCTCACCTCCATCGTTTCTCAGAGTTAGAAGAGAAAAAAATAACCAAGCAGCCACAAAGTTTAAAAAGCTGCAAGTAATAGGTACCCTGCTCATCCCTTCTCTCGTCTAGTAGCCTCAATTTTAGTGCAGCTGTTTTTTATGTATGTTCAATCATGTAGGCCAATCTAATACTGTATGTACAAATGTACTCCCTGGTTACTTGCTCTTTCTCCTTATTAGTGCAAATGATCAGATTTTAGTAAATATAGAAAAGTACTGTGTTTTTACATATAAGCTGATCATATATATAATCCTATTGCCTGAGGAGTTGAGTGGTTTGTAAAACCAGCGTATATAGTGCATATTATTTGCATAAAACACATCAGGACTAAGTTAATAGAAAACATGGGCACAATGGTAACAGTTTGCTAGTGACAGATACCATACAAGTCCCATTCCTTGATCTTTTTATTTAAAATATCTTTATATACTTTGAGATCCATATAGAATTACTTAATTAAAAAAACAATCTGGTGGGATGCAGGAGGGGGAGAGAAAGGGGCAGGGAGAAAATGTGTAATAATGAATAAATAAAAGAGAAGAAGAAAAAAAGCCAACCCAGTCTGGTATTTAAGTGTCATTAGGTGTCACTGAGGCACGTGGTTTGAATCCACCGGCTGTTCTGCAGGAGAAAGATGGGCAATTCATCCAGTGCAATTCACTGCTTCTGAAAACCCGGTGGAGAGTCAGCTACGGATTGGATTGGTTCAGACTCTATCGCCACAACCACTAAAACATATGTCCCTGAGTCGCCTATGACCCAGAGTCGACTTGAGTCCGTGAACTATGGCTGGAAACCTTGCTCTGCCCTGAACCATTCTTTGACCTCTGCCATGCACAAGCCCAAGTTCCCTATTGCAGGCACTGTGGCAATTCATCTTGTTGAGGGTTCTCTCTCCGCTGACCCACCACCTTTTGAAGCATATCTCCTTCTGAGGACTGGCACCTCCTGCGGTATTCCCTTGACTGATCAAACGACTGCTTCTTGGTCTATGTACAGGTTTTGCATTAACACAATTAAGTGTATTGTAATTTCCATTTTTCTCAATTTATCTAGAATTCATTATGAGAGGGGAAGACCCTCTATGAGATGGATTGATTCGGTGACTGGGGTAATTGGGATGGGTGTGTCAGAGGCAGTGCGGTTGGCGCAGGATAGAGCAGGGTTTAGGGCTGTTGTGCACAGGGTCGCTATGAGTCGCAAACGACTCGACGGCACATAACAACAACAACAATATAAATAAAGCCTTCTTGTAGTCAACAGAACACAAAATAAACACCTTTCTGGTATTCTCTGCTTTCAGTGGGAATCTATCTGCCATCAGCAGTGATATCCTATATATGGTTATTACAGGATTTGTCTGTCCACTCAAACCAAACTTAATGCTATCCCGTTGATTGCATTAACTATAGGGATTCTACTGGACAGAGCAGAAATGCCCCTTACACTCTGCAAGGCTGTAATCTGAATAGGAGCCGACTGCTATGTGTTTCTCCTGTAGAGTTAAAGAACCAACCACAGAACCACCAGATACCCTAATTTTCTTACCAAATCCACTGCTGTCAAGTCGATTTCAACGCATAGCAACGCATAGTGGATTCTGAAGTTGTAAATCTTTACAAGAGGAGACGGCCCATCTTTCTCCTGCTGAACAGCTGTTGGAGTTGAACTGCTGACCTTTTTGGTCTGCGGCCCCACGGGTTACCCACTGTCAGTGGCGTGAAAAACCTCTCATTGCCGTTGAGTCAGAACTAATAGCTGACTCTCCAGCGGGTTTTCAGAGGCCAGGTGTTCCAACTTGGCTACTGTCCAGAGGCCACAAAGGAGCCAGAAGGAACATCAGGAAGGCTAGGTGGGCGATGGAGCAAGGGAAGCGATCCAGAGTCCTGGCCGACTACGAGCACATCCACCCATTTTGTCCCTACTCTAAATGTCCAAATCTGCTCGATCAGTGAGTGCACAGCGCCTTCTCTTTAACACTGCTGTGCGCTGCAAAAAAGAAGTCACTACAGCATCTGGCTTGCAAGTCAAGGAAGCAACATGACAGCCATGGATGGCGGAGGAAGCCGCCGTCTCCCAGACACCGCGGCCGGCCGGGACTCACCTTGGTCTCCACGGAGGGTCCTTTCTCGTAGCCGACCCTCTCCTTGAAGCGGGTCAGGAAGGCGGGCTCGGCGGGCCGCACATACGACACCAAGTTACGCTTGCTCATGGTCGGGTTTGGAGACAGCGGCGCCAGGCGCTTATTTATAGCGCCAGGCGGGGGCGGGGCTTCCCGTGACGTCAATTGGGCGCGCCCCGCCCCGCGCGCGGAGGCTTCGGCTGCGAGGCGGCCTCGGGCCAACGTCCGCCCCGAGCGCCAAATTCAAACCCGCGGCCATCTTGGCGGGGCGGGATCGGGGCGCGCGGCGCTGCGGGGAGGCGGGGGCATCGGCGGCATCCGCGGCATCCGCGGCCTTGGCCTGGGATCCTGACCGGCAAGTGTGGGTGCCATGGCGCCCGGCTGCAAGAGTAAGTCCGGCGCTTCGGCTCCGTAACCCTGCGCAGCTGTCAGATACGATAGCGGAGGCAAGGCTGGTCCGCGGGCGCTCGCGCTCAGAAGGGTCCGTGCGAGAGGCCCATCCGAGCAACGATGAGTGTTTGCAGTCTCTGTACCTCTGAGACTCCGGCCTCTTACCTTCCATCTGTATATTGGACGCATGCGAGGAGCCAGGCATCGTTCTAGACATTTGGGGTCAGCAGCTGACCGGAACTCTTGGAAGGCTTTGGCGCCCCATGACACGCTCCTGTTGTCCCCTTGCTGTCTTTACCTTTGTCCCTTTTACGTGCTGTTGGCCATTTGGGTCTTGGCCTCTTCCCGCTCTGATCTGGGCTGTTTCTCCGAGAAGCTGCCCGGGTATCTGCTCTTGCCTTCACTCCCTGCCTGAGAAAATGCCTTTCTTGCAGCAAGGAGGACTTTTTCTTTTGTTCCAAGTTCTTTCTACTTTTGGAAAAAAGGAATACAGCCCTTCCTTAGATAAGGGTATTTAAAAGCACCGATTTCAGCTCACTTATTATATTCTCATATCCCCTGGTTTTTCCAGGAGGCTCATGCAGATTCTTCCCTTTTGCACACACAGGAGCGCTGTCATTTTGACTGCTGACACCCCCTGCGAGTCGGAATCGACTTGATGGCTGCTTTGATTTGGGATCCCTTGACACAGTCTTGTTTTCAGAGCTGATTTTTGCACGTTTGAAGTAACCTTGATGCTGTTGATCCACCTCGGGAAGAAGATAGGACAAATTTACAAACTTGGAAGCTTAGGGGGCTATTTCACTCCATCCTGTAGGGTCTTTATGAGTCGAAATCAACAGGATGACACATTCCTATGATAAAGAGTTCTCTGAATATGGTGGCTGGAAATGAGGACAGTCTTATGGGCATGATTGAAAAGACAATCTTAAAAAGGATTTTGACATTTGAAGCCTCCAACAACGTTAATATTTCTCAGTGTCAGTTATTGACTGACGGATGCATTTGTTGTTTTATGAACCTAGTTGTTATCCTTGTTGAACATTTCAGGTTATTATCCAAGCATCTCATACTCCCTTATATTTCATATAAAAGTTTTTTTCTCAAATAAGAATGAGCATATAAGATGATCTACTTTTTTTTTTCCCCTTTTTCTATCTAACAAAACGATGATGGGATCTTGATCGGAATTGCGTTGTATTGTGCTGATTGTGTTTGGTAAGATTGCCATTTTGACAATGTTAAATCTTACAGTCTGTGAACATGGTGGAGATTATGAGGAATGTGTGGGATAGGGCAAGGTCTGGATCTGTTGTTCTTAGGATTGCTCTGAAAGTTGTATTCGACTTGATGACACCCAACAACAAAGTCATTATGGTTTTCCTCTCTTTTATTTTAAAGAGGATTATTAATTTTCTTGGAGGTTGTCTTATAAGTTGTTACTTTATTCTAAAGTCTGAAACATTTCCCTTGTCTCAAAATCCCCTTCCTCTCCATTTAGAAGTTCTGTAACTACTTATTCCCCTTTTTTGCATTGTAGTTATTAGTTTGTTGTTGTTAAGTGCCATCGAGTCGCAGGCGACTCATAGCTACCCTATGAAGGAGAGTCCTCGAAGCTTGGGTGCCTTTCATCCACTCTCCAGGTTTATAGGGTTTCCAGAGGCAAGCTATTATGGAAGTGGACTTTTAATCAGGGAGCTCCACCCCACTCTCTGTCCTCATTGGGTAGCCAACCATTAATGCATTTGACACAATCAGTGGTATAGTGTTCACCCTCACAGCAACCAAAAGTGACCGCAGTACAGCAACTTGTACACCAGGGCTATACGACCTAGAGTTATTAGTTTAGTAATTCTTAATGTTTTACTACCTATCTTTGGATGAGTGTTAAAACTTTGCCTTTTCCTCTAAGTGCATCGGGAGCCTCAGCAGGATTTTAAATTGGACAGTGATTTGCTATGAGATGTACACACACAAATATACACACATTTATTTCAGTAACTGGTTGTTTTACTGTGATTTGAACTTAAGGTAAAATATAAGAATGATACAAGGAAGTTTTCTGTAATACCTGGAACCTTTATTAAGGTTAGGGAGCTCTGGTGGGTAGACTGTAGGGAAATGCACTGCTAACCCAAAGGCTGTATGTTGTCTGTAGCAGTTCGAATCCGCTGGTGGCTCTGAGGCAGGAAGATGCAGTCTCCTCCAGGTGCATCTGCAGCCTCAGAAAGCTGGTAGAGGGTTGCTGTGAGTGGGAACCACCTGAGAAGGAACCACTTCAGCAGCAGTGAATTAAAACTGACAATTTAAACTCACCCAGAGATGCTCAGAGATAGACCTGGCATTCGGCTGCTGAAAGGCCACAGCTCTGAGACCATGCAGAGCTGTTCTGCTCCACTCCTTCGGGGCAGCCATGATTTGAAAATGATCTCACAGCACCTAACAACAATTTATATTAATCATTTCTCATTTTGCCTGATTTATTTTCTCCTCCTCTCTTCTCCATCCACCCCATCTGTTTGTGTGTGTATTTGTACATGTGTACAACCAAAATTCCCTGCTGTCAAGTCAGTTTTGACTCATAGTGATTCTGCAGGACAGAGTGGAACTGTGCTATAGGTGTCTGAGGTTGTAAATCTTTCTGAAGCATCCTGCTTCATCTTCATCTCATGGTGTGGCTGATAGAGTCAAACTACCAATCTTTTAATTGGCAGCTGAAGCCCTTCCCACAGTGCCTCCAGACAGCTCCCTATACATGGATTATATGTTGTTGTTGATGGGTACCATCAAGCCTGATCTAATTTACAATGATCCTGTGCACACAGCGTGTGGCATCTTTACAAGTGTTGCTGCGAGGGAGACCCTTTTGCAGCCACTGTGCCTGTCAGCCCATCTTGTTGAAGGTTTTTCCTCTTTTTCATTGCACCTCTACTTTTTCAACCATGATGTCCTCCGGGGGATTGTAGCCTCCCGTTAGTTAACATGCCCCAAAGTAGGTGAGATGATATTTTGCTTCTAAGGAACATTCTGGTCGCATTTGTTGGTTCTTTGACATTCCATCATAGATTCTGTATTTTCTGCCTACATCACAACTCAAAGGCATCGGCTCTTAGTGCTTCTTCAGTCTTCCTCCTTAATTGTTTTCCAGCTTTCATAGGCCTGTGTGGTGATTGTTGTGGTTACGTGCAGAGGAGTCAGAACTGACGCATAGCTGACCCTCCAGTTGGTTTTTAAAGATGGTAAATTGCACCGGAGGAGATTACTTCTTTCTCCCATGGAGAGCTGGTGAATTAGAACCTTGGGCCTTTGGGTTGACAGCACAGTGCCTTACCACTAGACCATCAGGGCTCCCTCGTACTCATATGAGGCCACTGAAAAGAATTGTGTTGGGTCAAGTGCACTTTAAGTATTAAAGCAACATCTTTATTCTTTAGTGTCTTGAGGAAGTCTTTGCAGCAGATTTCCCCAATGCAAAACATTTACTTTCATGGTGTATGAGAGAGGGAACTTGATGGCATGGGCCTTAGGAGAGTTCCACTGCTGATGCATGCTATGTCTCTCTAGAAGGTTTTGTTTGTTTGTTTTGATTTTTTGATTATTATTATTTTGTGTATGTACCGTCAAATCAGATCTGACTGGTACTAGAGAAGACTGCCCCTCCTTCTCCAGCAGAGCATTTGGTGCATTCGAACCACATACCTCTAGGATTAACATTTACTTTCTTGATTGCCACTTCCAACAGTATTGCTTCTAGAACAAAGTAAAATTAAATCCTTCACTAAAATACATAAAATTTGTATGCATTTTTATTCTCTGAACCATTTGTAGGTAAACTGGAGGTATTGTATACTTTTGCCACTAAGTAGTTCAAGGTTATATAATTCACAAGTCATCATATTTTGCATTTATCTAATGTCCCAACAATATATTTTTATAGTTATTTTCCCCTGAAACCAAATTTAATATAGGATTTTACATTGCATTCATATCTTACTTAAAAAAAATAAAATAACAAAACCAAAATCCTGCCTGCTGAGTTGAGATTAGATGGAGTCATGGTCGGGAAATTAGAGAAGCAAGTATTCTATTGTAATAACTCAAGTAAGCTATGTAGCTTGTAGCATTCTGGATGTATTCTGAAACTGGAGTCAAAAGCATGTTGGATATGAAGTATGAGAAAGAAGGGAGTCAGGAGTAACTTTAAGATTTTTTGCTTGAATAATCGGGAAGATGGAGTTACTAGCTGAAATGATGGTGTAGCACATCTGGGACAAGGGATCAGGAGCTTAGTTTAACATGTTAAATTGGAGACATTGCTATATTAGGCATCCAGTTGAGGGCGCCAAATAGCAATCAGATATAAACGGAAGCATCAGGAGAATGGTCTCAGGAGAAGGTTTAAATTTGAAAATCATCATTTTATGGGTAACATTTAAAACCATGTGATTGGATGCCATCAGTAACAGAGTTGATGTGGGCAGAAGAGAAAATCCAGGGCTGAGCCTTGAGTCTCCCGCTGTCGAAATGTCAGGGAGACTGAGGAGAGGAAGATCAGCAACTGAGGAATAGACCATATGAAAATGGGGTGGGCTTTCATCATGGATTTTTAAGCTAATGTTTTCTTGTCTTACTTTGTAGCTGAATTACGCAACATGACGAATACTCAGTCTAACCAGTCAAGGTAAGAAAATGCTTTTAATGATGAGGCGCCAAAGAATTACTGATTTTGTTTCTGAATGCTCAAGTCGATTAAAACTCATAGCAACCCTGCATGATAGCAGTCATTTTTCATCTTCAGGGGAACAGATTAACTTTCAAAACTTCCACAGAGCCACTGGATGGGTTCAAACTGCCAACCTGTGGTTAACAGCTGAGCATGTAACCAGTGAACCTCCAGGGCTTCTTAGAAAGTCAGGATGTTCATAATATTTGTAAAATAAGCATTTATTATAGTAAGAGATGCCTCTTAGACACTCAAGGAGATCCAGAAATTTTCTGTAAAGAGAGGAACACCAGAAGTATACATTGACACTAGATTCAACCAAGCTGTTAGGGCTAAAGGAATGTTGGGAACTCTGGTGGCCAAGTGGTAAGGAGTTGTGCTGCCAGGACTAATGCATGTAGTTTGAATCTACCAGCTGCTCCACAGGAGAAAGATGAGCAGTCTCCTCCTGTGCAATTTACAGCCTCTGAAAACCTGCTGGAGGGTCAGCTATGAGTTGGTTCAAACTCCATGGTAACCAACAACAGCATTGGGAAGATTACTCATGTAACTATGAAAAACAGAAAAATTATTGGAGATATTGCAAAAAGAGGAGTCCCTCAGGTTGGAAGGCATGCAGAAATTGAGGCGACAAGAAGCTGCACTGCAATCCTAGAGGTGAGCGGTTCAAATCAGTCAGATCCGATTTGAGGGTACACACACACACACACACACACACACACACACACACACAATTGAGGAGGAACATCTGTAGACATCCATTAGTAGTTGGAACATGGAATGTACAAAGTGTGCATTAGGGACAATTGGAACTTTTCGAAAATGTGCATCAACTTGCCTGCCTATGATCACCTGGCTCGGCAGCTGTGCCTTTGATTACCTGGCTTGGCAGGTGTGCTGTAGTCATTTTCTTGATGAGATCTTACAGAATTACCGCCGTGGTGACAAGCCACCACTTGTCTGAGTTTGCTGGGATGCTGGAAGCTATGCTACTTGCATTTCAAAGACCAGCAGAGTTCCTCATGATGGACAGGCTACAGCAGAGATTCCAGACTAAAACAGACTAAGAAGCCGAACTGGCCATTCCTTTCTGAAAACCAGGCCTTTAAGCCAGATAGGCCGCAGTAGAACATTACTGTGTAAAGTGCTGGAAGGTGAACATTTCAGGTTGGATGTTATTTAACATGTGACTAAGGAAGAGCGACCTCAAAGGACAGCTTCCCGTAATGATGGGAATGAATTAAAGCTTTCACCCAGTGAAGGCTCTTCATCTGTTGATGTGGCAAGACTTAGATGAAGAGAAACAGCTGCAAACATCTATTAATAATTGGAACATAGAATTTGTGATGTATATGTAAATCTAGGGAAACTGGAAGGTGTCAAAAAAGAAATGGGATGCGTAAAGATTGACATCCAACACAATTGTGAGCTTAGGTGGACTGATAAAATTTTGTATCAGACAATCCTATGATGTACTATACCTCTGAATTGTGGAGTGGGTGAGGAGTATTGAATATACTATGGTCTGCCAAAAGAATAAACAAATCTATCTTGGACACAGCTTTAGTTTGCTTGGCTCCACAACCCTCTTGGCACCAGTAGCCAGGAAATTAAAAGACATATAGCCATGGGAAAGTCTGCTGTTAGAGACCTCTGCAAAGCACTGAAGAGCAATGGTGTCTCTCTGGAGACTAAGGTGTGTCTGATACAGGCCATGGTCTTTGCTGTCACTTGTTATGCATCGGAGATTTGGACAATGACTAAGGAGGATAGAAGGAGAATTGATGCCTTTGAGCTGTGGTGCTGGAGAAGAGTATTGATACCGTGGACTGCTAGGAAAACAAATAGATTCATCCTGGAAAGGGTTAAACTGGGCAGCTCCTTGGAGGCAAGGATTCTGAGGCTCCGTCTAACATACTTTGGACATGTAAGGAGGGACTGGTCCTTGGAGAGGGTCATCATGCTTGGGAGGGTGGAGGGACAGCGCAGGAGGGGAAGGTCCTCTATGAGGTGGATTGATTCAGTGACTGGGGTAATGGGATGGGAGTATTAGAGACAGTGCGACTGGCACAGGACAGAGCAGAGTTTAGGGCTGTTGTACATAGGGTCGCTATGAGTCGCAAGCGACTCGACAACACATAACAACAACATCTTGGACAAAGTGCAACCAGGATGCTCCTTGTAGAATGAAGGATGGTTAAACTTCTCACATACTTTGAGCATGATGTCAAGAAGAGCCAGTTGTTGGAAAAATACATCATGCTGGAAAGGTGGAGGGTCAGAGAAAGAGAGAAAGCCTCTCAGGAAGATGAACTGACAGTGTAAGAATGAACTCAAGCTTGTTGGAGATTATGAAAATGGAGCGGGAAAGGATCAGGTTTCCAACATGTTGTTCATAGCACGGCTTTGCGTCATAGCCGACTTGACAGCACAGAGCAGTAACAGCTCCACTGTTGGGAAGGTTGTGATAATACCTGTTGGGAAGTAAAATCAGTACACTTGTAAGACTTCGAAAAAAAGAAATGGGGCAGGTACTGGGTTTTGTTGGGGAAGATCAGTATAGAAATCTTACACTAGAGATCCTTTTTGCTTTCTTTTCTCCGATAAACTAGATTTCACGATTTTTCTTTTGTGCTTAGTAATGAAGGTGATGCCATCAAAGTCTTTGTGCGAGTTCGTCCGCTGGCGGAAGGCACTGGATCAGCTGAGGGAGAGCAAAGCCTGTGCTTGTCTGCACTCTCCTCCACCACGCTTCGGCTGCACTCCAACCCCGAGCCCAGGATCTTCACGTTTGACCATGTTGCAGACATGGATGTCACTCAGGTCATGACAATTCTGGGAACTTAACTTTTCAGCTGAAACTCATAAGGCTTTGTTATGTGTAGAGATCTCATTTCTGGTATATCTCAAATAAGGAAGGTCAAACTTGCCTTAAACATTTTAAATTCTGGTTTTATGAAATAGTTTTCTTCCTTTATCGAAGTTGTACCAGAATGATAGAAACGTGCTTTTCTTTCTCTGTGCATCCATTGATGGAAATGAATGAGGATTTATTTTTCAGAGGCACTTAGATAATTGATCAGTACTATTGAGCTGCCTAATTTAAAGGACATGGTTACCATGATGTTAAAAACAGCTTTATAAATTAAGGACAGTTAAGTCAAAATCTAATCTGAGCTCTCCAATAGAACTTTCTGCAGTAGTAGAAATATTGTTTACCTGTGTGTTCACTCCAGTGGCCTCTAACTATATGATGTTGCTGTCGTTGTGTACCATCAGGTTGGAACAGACCCATAGCTGACCCTCTGACAAGTTTTCAGAGGCAGTTAATCACATGGGAGTAGATTGCCCGTCCTTCGCCCACCGAACAGCTGGTGGATTAGAACCATATTCCTTTGGGACTGCAGTACAGCTTCTTGCCACTAGGCCACTATTAAAATGAAATACATATAGTTACTCAGATGAACTAGCCATATATGGCTCCTGAGTACTTGCAATGTGACTGTATTGGATATCACAGATCTAGATTATTCCTTTATAGATTTGGATGTTTTTCTGAGATATTTATATCTTGAAATTTTGTTTTCTTCATTTATAAGACAATGCTAATAGAAATATAAAATGGACGAGATATATAGTTGTGGTTTTTTTTTCATTTCCTGTTTGTTATTTGCAATTGCATTGACTGTTACTCATGACCTTGTATATGACAGAATAACTCCTCTCATGGAAGAACAACAGTACAGTCAAAATATTTCAACATGTAATCAGTAGCTGCTCTGATAGCCTAGTGGCAAGAAGCTGTGCTGCAATCCAGAAGGCATGGGGTTCCAGGCCACCAGCTGTTCCTTGGGATAGGCAATCTCCTCCTGGGTATTTAACTGCCTCTGAGAGGAGGTTTAGCTATGGGTCACTTCTGACTCTACGGTACACAACACAATAACAACAATCAGTACACTGCAGATTTTTAATGACGTTTTCCATTCTTTCTTCACTCTTCAAAATCTGGTGTCTATGTTGTATTTCTACACCTGATACTGTTACACCACCTCTGATTTATGTTGTATCGGAGAAGTGCTCTATAGGGCTCTCTGGCCTGTGGAACTAGATTACCAGGCTTTTCTTCTGCATCACCCCTCGGTGAATTTGAACTGTCAACTTTTGGGTTAGTAGCCAAATTTAAACCATTTGTTCTACTTAGGCACTTGTTTGGTTTTTTCCCCTTTCTCTTTAAAATACTTACAGCATGTGCCAATTTAGACAACCTCAATTGACTCCTGGCTGCCATATTAGACTCCTAGGCCTGGGATTATATACACAAATATTGCTTATTTAGTACAAGTTCCTAAGGAGATTACTGAAGAAATAATAAGACTATGTTTTATGTTCTCACATATGCATGCAGAATACTACATGAAATTCGAGATGTGAATTTCTGCATGTGAAGTGTAAATGTGAACTTTAACTCTGCAGTTATCTGTATAGGAGATTAATGGCTATAATTATGTTCAAAGTTTAATCATCTTAGATGCTTTAGTCATTTTTCTTTAGTGTGTATAATTTTCCTGTTATTTTAACACATGAGTAATAAATGTAATTCCTTGTATTAAAGGATGTAATATGGGAAAGATGTTCTTATTTTCATGAAATGTTAACATGTTTGGTGCTTCTATTTTTAGGAGTCTGTGTTCTCAGCTGTGGCCAAGAGCATTGTGGAATCATGTATGAGTGGTTACAATGGTACCATCTTTGCATAGTAAGTCATTTATGCTGTTGTTAAAATACTGTTGCTGTGTACTGTTGAGTTGGAACTGACCCATAGCTGACTTCCAGTGGGTTTTCAGAGGCAGTAAATTGCATGAAAGAAGATTGTCCATCTTTCTCCATGGAGCAGTTACCTTAAAAAGCAAGTGACAAAGGACCTCTGGTGGCCTAGTGGCAAGAAGCTACACTGCAATCCCAGAGATACATGGTTCGAATCCACCAAATGCTCTGCTGGAGAAGGAGGGACAATCTCCTCCTGTACCAGTCAGATCCAATTTGATGGTACACACAAAAAATAATAAAATAAAAAAAACCAAAAAAAACAAGTGACAGGCATGAATATTCACCACTATGTTAACGAGGAAGGCTCCTACAATACTAAGCACTTGTATTAGTTATCTATGCTACTGTAACTAATGATCAAACTTAGTGGCTAGAAACAACAGAAATATATTATCTTAGAATTTGAAGGTCAGAAGTTCAACGTAGGTCTTCCTGGACTAAAATCAAGAGTGAACTGGCCTGCATATCTTTCTTGAAGTGCTACAGGAGATTCCTTTTCTGACTTCCTCTAGTTTCCAGAGACCGCCTGCATCTCTGGATGCTCTCCCCC